AATTATTTAGGGACGCCATGCATTAAGTATGAGAAGGAGCTGGAATAGTTTTGTATGGGTATGTGTGTGTATGTGGGAATACATGCATCCTTGAGTGGGTACATGCTTACGAAGGGGGGGGCTTCTTGCCGCTTCAAATACCTGGAGAAAAGCAGGAAGGAAAGCGCTGATCTATTAAACATGCTTCGTGACTTGTGGAGTCAGAGAAAGAGCTTTTCACTAAAGTTGGTCAGGACGGCTAAATGTGCATTTCACAGAGTTGCACTGTAACTCTGAAATGTGAGAGTCCGTAGAATCCTAATGTGAAGAAACTCACATTTTTATTTCTTTATTATCTGAATAAAATATATTTTGTGTGATTTGAATATTTTATCAATATGAACTTTATTTTAGGGGTTTTTAATGAGTCCTCTCAGTTACAACCGAGACCTGAACTGGGACACGAAGTCCACATCCAAATTCTGTCTAATCAGGGCGGGTCGGGTCCCACGGCAGGTCTGTGTATCAATATGTCTCTCTTACTGAGTAAATCTGAGAGGAACTGTTATATCATATTATATTATATCATATTATATTATATTATATTATATTATATTATATTATCTCACTGCATGTTCATTCAGGTGAACTCCCAACTTGGAAATATTACTTTTAGATTTTGTGCTCCAGACTCGCACACACACTTTAAATACTGATTGTCTGAAAACTTTGGGACAGTTTAGAAAAATGTGCTTTTAAATCTTCTAAATCACAATGTTCCTGAATGTAATTGTTTTTATTAGAAACTGATTTTTGAATCCTGATTGTCCAACATCCTGCTTGTTTTTCTTTTACGCTTTTGTAATCTCGGCACCATTGAAAACGAGGGTCAAATCAATAAAGGTTGATGATGATGTTATATTATATCAGTAGTAGTAATGAACAGGGGGAAAAGACAGGAGTAAACTGTTGGAAACACGCCGCAGTGAAAACTCTGTTCATTAGAGAGTCAGTCCAGGCTTCAGGAGACCGGCCACTGGTTGAGCCGCCGAAGGTAAACAACCTAAACAATGTTTGATTATTTAGATTTTGTCACTCACCTTATTTTTCATCTCCACCTGATCATATCACCTGTGACTGACTCCAGAAGAACATGTATGTACAGTCTGAGGTGTCATCTATATGTCCGGCCACAGTGTTAAAGCTCATCCGCCGTGACATTGAGGAATTTACAATTCAACTCGTCAATCTATGACATGAATAAACATTAAAAATGAAGTATAAACTTGAATAAATATGATGTATTGATCCCTTTTAGGGGGGGTGGGGGTGGGATGTAATATAATCACTGAATTTATCAGGGGGCATGTTTTTCTTCTTTTTTTTTTTATAAATGGAAATTTAAAAATCCTGTTTCCTCGTCTCTGTGTTCCATCGATTGTGCTGAACCGCCCTGGAGAGTTGGAGGAGGAGGAGGAAGAGGAGGAAGAGGAGGAGGAGGAGGAGGAGGACTTCATCGAGCTCCTCTCTGACAACACCAAATCAATTCATACTTCTGAAGAGATGTCTTTCTTAACAGTGACAGGCATTTTAATTGCAGTTTCAAGCATCTAACATAACTGTTTAGAATAGAGTGAAGCAAACACGGCAATGCATACCATCCGCATCCATATACCACACATCTTAACGGCCCAATGGGATCTTTGGTTTGTTTATCTTCTGTGATGGCTGAAAAGGCAGTTAGCGCCGCCTCCGAAAGTACAAGAAGCCACTTCTATTAAAATGAAGCTGAAGACAAGAGGAGACAGCCCCCACATTAATCAAGTACCTTCAGATTGAAGAGAGACCAACCACCAATTATGCTGAATAATTCAAAGGCAGAAGAATCTTAGAGATAACTGAAGGACATCTGAAGATAGAGAAGGAGAAGAGTGGGTTGGATTTATAGGATTTGATTACAGCTTCCAGATGAATTTCTGTGAGAGGCATTTAATGAGAGGTAATGTGTGTGTGTGAGTGTGTGTGTGTGTGTGTGTAAAAGCCCTCACAAAGACGCAAAGCAACTTGCAGGGTCAACCTCACGCTTGGAGAATACCCACTGAGCACTGACCTAACGTGAACCGTCAGTTATCTCTGTACCTGTGTCTCAGGTACAGGAAGTGTTGCCGATGTCAACAGAACTGTCCAAAAATCAAAACACACTCCACAAAACACTCTTGCACACACGTCCTTGCTGAGCCTCATGCATTTATAAGTCAGAATCAGAACAATTACAGCACTCTCTCTCTCTCTCTCTCCCTGCAGGGTGAAGCAGCGAGAACTCAGCCTTCAGGTTTAACTGAGCAACGACAGCATGAGCCCTGAGGCTACGATCAGCTTCTCCTCCGTGGCTGCTGTTGTGCTACACAGGAAATACAAGGACTCTGACACTGACGCTGATGAGCCTTGACTGGAAAACATCTACTCTTCTTCTTAGTTTTTGTTTTGTCCTGTGAGAAACATCGATTAGCATTAGTTGCGTGGGCGGTTTTGTGAGGATGTCAGCTGGCTTGAGGTTAGAGATGCGGTCGAGGGGGGAAACCTCTTAGTAAGGTTCCCTTGAGTAAAGCTGTTCACAGTACGCTAAAGCCCTCCCCCGAACACTGACGTCTCAATTATAGATTAGCAACTTTAACGAGGTACGGCATGCCCGTCAAGCTTCGGATTTCTTTGCACGTTTAAGAAATGTTCGTGGGACTGTAGAGATACGACATACATCAAGAGTCTGGATGACAGTTTCTTTTTTTCTCTCTACAAAACCAAAAATACAAGAGCAAAAGTGTAAGGGATGGACTAAACTGTGCGTTTATCTGCTCTAACATAAACTGCAAACATTAGCATGTCGGGCTAACTAGCTTACGACCAACAAGTTACTTGCAAGGCTGCAGCTTATTTTATTAAAAAGCCCTGGTCATGGTAGTACATCCACTGTGTAGAAGCATAAGATCACAGATGCTACTATAAGCTAATATTAGCTTCAACTAGCTACAGCTGAACAAATCTGCATGTAAAAGGCGTCATAAATAACACTGGCTGGAAACGACAATCCTGACTTTAGACAGAGTTTAGGATATATATATATATATATGTGTGTGTGTGCGTGTGTGTCTTGTCTGCTTTTCTGTTAAGTGTATTGGCTCACTGCGGATGCCTGCAGGCAAGCCAAAGGGGTGAAATGAATTTGTAACTGATCCGTGGAAGCTCGTCTGAAATACACATTCAATCTGTTTCGATGTGTGGACTTCTGAGCGGCAGGAAATGAACCCCTCACTGTAAACAATGAGTGAAGCTGGGATTCAAGGCCGTGTTTGACTGATTTGACAGCATTGTCAAAACGTTGGGGTTTAGAAATATTATTGGAGTTGCAGCTTATCAGAACAATGATATACTGTCTGCTCATGATCCTGTCAGACTTGAAGTTCTTCCAATTTTAACAAGTTTCCAAGGGTCTTTTTATTGGAGCACCTCCAGCTGCTCACTATGATATGTGTCTTAAAATAACATCAAGGCAACTGAGGATATTTTACTGAAATTTTCTCCAGATCTAACATTAACAGTGTCTCTACCTGACACCAGTGATCAGCTAAACTCCCCTGACATTTAAAACTGTGAAAAAATGTCACTATAATCATTAAAACCATAAAATCTCAACGTATATGTGAGGTCACTGTGACAATAATGGAAATGAAGAGGAGTGAGTCAGATAAAATGACTCAGACGTGCATACACAGTCCAACCCCCCCCCCCCTAAAAAAACAACTCAATCTTCTATCTATTTTGAATAATTACCCATGTTCAGGTCGTTACTTTTGCCTGCATGAATCAGTTTAGCAAAAAGCCTTCACAACACACAGTTTGACACGTTGACGGGAAAAGCTCAGGTATAATTAAGTCCTGCTTTCCGACACGGTGGCTCACTAAAGTGCTTTACTGTACGATTGATCGGAACGGAACCATTTTAAATACTGTTGGTTCCACCTGCCATTTTTTCCTGACTCAAAATATCTGCTGCAAAAAAATATTCTATATATTTTTTACTGCAGGTTCTTGCTGCCATAGTTTTTCCATCCATGCCCCACATATGAAACACGACCTTTATTATCATTGGCTAATTACAGTGTCATACAGTCAGAGCTGAGGTGATTGTTAATCAGTCACTGATGAGACACACCTGGGGAGATCCCAGCTGATGAAGCTTGTGGGAAAAAATAAACAAACCTGTAATTCCAACTACGGCCTACGGCGGGCGGCATGCGTACCGGACCTCGGTTGTCATGGTTACCACGATAAATCATGGTTACTATAATAACGTCTTGGTTAGCTTTAGGAAAAACATGGCGATTTTGGGTTGAAATTCGTACCGCCTCAACATTCGGAGACCCTTGTTGTCATGGTAACGATAACAACAACAACGTGGTTAACTTTGCTGGACGCTCTTGGACAAAACAAACAAGATAAACCGCTGGTGTCACATGGGAATCGAACACACCGCTCTCCTGTCTCATGCTTTTTTTTAATTTTTTTTTTATTGTTCCACTTCACTTGATTTGTTTTTCTGTATTCATTTGTCGCTTAATTTTCCACCATGCTGTACTCTTATTTTTGTGTGATGACTGAATTAAAGTCAGTGCCCACAAACCCCTCTAAAGGATCACTTTTAATGAGCTATCACCATTCAAAGTCAGAAGAAACACCCTGTGAGTATTACAGAGGGACGGACGAGGCAGACGGAGGAAGGGGAAAAACAAGAGAGAGGAAAAAAAAAAAAAAAAGAGAAGTGAAGAGAGTGAATTGCCAGAAGAAACGAAGCCAACAGAGAAGCTCCAGGGGAGATTTTACGGTGGTACAGCCAATGCAGCAGTCCCTCGTCCCTCCTCAGGCATTCTGAGCCTGCATTTTCCCCAATGGAGCGGCCTGCGATGGCTGCATGGTTTGGTAATGGCTTGTAACAGCTGATGTGGGTATATGAAGGGGAGGCTTGCCTGAGAGAGGTCCAGCTCTACCTATCCTGATGGTCATCTCATCAGAGTCCTGGAGCTGGAACGAGTGCTGCTCCGCTTCCTCTTTGGCCAGCTTGGAGTCCGGGGACAGCGCCAAGGCAATGTGGGGGTCAGCACCTACACCCTGCGGACAAAAGGAAAAGACACAAGGGGTTAAAATCCATTTTATATACAGAAGATCACGCAATGCTTCATTTCATGGGTCCCCTGATTTCCTTCTAATGTCATGGAAATTGTCTGAATTATTTTCTAAAAAATTAGTGTGGAGATCTCAAAGTAAAAATACCCAACTACAAGTATTTCTATGGAAGTATTAGCAGCAAAATAATTTCCCAAGAAATTTTGTAGAGAATAAGTATTAAGGAGCATAAAGCAACAGAAGTATCTTATTACTGTATTTAAGTACAGTGTTTTGACTAAATGTACTAATTTACACATAAACTACATTTTGGTTCATTGTAACAGCGATTAGTTAAGAGTTATGTTGATTATTATTATCATTATTAAATCCTTTATTTGTTTTTATAGACCTGCTTTTATGTGATGTCGTCTTTTTATCGTCTCATCGCCCTTTTATTGCTTTTTGCTTTATTATGTTTGCATGTGTGTGTGTGTGTGTGTGTGTGTGTTTCTATATGGCTGCTCCCTCTGATTGTCCTTATTTCTATTGATGCATATTGTGAAACCTATTTCTGTCCTGCTTTTGATTTGTTTGTCAAAGCCCTTTAAATATATAACTATATATCTATATAAATAAAGTTGCTGTTATCATTATTATTATAATTATTATAGATCGAGATCTCTTTTACATAAATAGACATATTATTTTATGACACTGGTATTCACTCTGTATAAACTTGAGTATGCATCTCTAAAAGTTTTCCTCATCGGCGAACTCACAATCTCATATTGTACCAGTGCAGTTTATAACAGGTGGTTTTGTGTTGTTAACTATGCACTGTTTCTCCCACAGTTAATCTCTCAGTGATGCTCTGAACCGACTGTGACGTTACCAAACTCCAGGCCTCGTCAGTTTGGGTCAGTTACACATTTTGAAGCCGCAGATTTGGACAGACAGAAAATCCTTGCATGAGGACTCACTGCCTCGTATCTATTAATCTTATTTCTTAATCTGATATGTTACTCCAGGCAGGTTCTCTCTCGCAGCATATTACACAGCCTTCGAAAGGAATATAAATGCAAATGACGCCTCATTGAAAACCCACAGTGGAGAGCTGCATTACAGCTTCAAAATAAGTCATTACACAAAACTCTGCAGTAAAACAAAACAGTTTTTATGTCAAAACACCGTTGCGATTGTGAAATGATAACACTACCAAAACTAAACTATGACTGATGGATCTTCAAATTGTGAATGAAAAATTAAACTGTAATGCTTGAATGATGACAATCCCACCTGTACCGTTTATTCCAGCGAGAGAACGCAGTGATCGGACAAGAAACTGTTCGACGGTGATAAGACGTCAACGTGTGAAACAAGGTCAGTGAAGTAACTTTGTGCAAAGTGAATCATACAAACACAGCCAATGTTTGACTATGTTAATTACTCTGAAAACGCAAAGAGCTAAATTAGGACGGCCTTCTTTTGAAAGACTAACTGACTAAGACTAACCGGTGGAGACAGTTTGACAGCCCAGTGAGATTACTTTGAATAAATAATGTAAGCACTCTAATTCACTTGCTTTGCTTGCAATAACTTCACTGGCGAACGGCAGAAGAAAAAAACAATCTGGCTGACGATCAGTTAAGTTATAAAGCCATTAAAGTCCACCTATATCAGAATGAAGATCAAACAGTCACAGAAAACCCATTAAGAAAATGAAAATATATGAGGCCCACAAATACACAGAAGACTGAACACCGAACGTGACAATGTGGGCTTCACTGATTTTAAAAAGGTGAGGAAAACAGAGAGCCCACATATTCATTAGCAAAAACCATCAGATGGTTAATGTCTGTAAGTGAGGGCTAAAAAAAACAAACAAAAAAAAACCATCTGCATCCATATCTACCCCCTTTCATCTCTGCACATGCTCAGTTGCAACCGCAACAGACGAGGACGTGGACAATCACAAACAAATACCTCCGTGACAATCAAGGTTTTCATTGTGTGTATCTTTTCTCAAAAACTGCACCAGACAAAAATGCTAAAATGTTGACGACACTCCACTGTTATTTTTGTGAAGAGTGACAAGCCATTTTTAAGTGATTTTACGGTTGCAATCTTGGCAAAAATGTCAGTTCGTCGCAAAAAAACATGGACCACCCGGACAGGAGCATCAATCATGCAACATGCCTATAAAAACATACCGTCTTACACCTTTAGACAACTTTTCCATCCAGATTTAACTTTGATTTTAAACAGATTTCTGCTGCGGCTCAGGAGATATAGCCGGTCATCCGCTAATGGAAGAACGGTGGTTTGGATTCCCGGCTCCTCCCGGTGCACATGTCGAAGTGT